AGCCCTCAACTGCTCACCTCTAAACGGCCAGTAGTGCCCAGCACTAATCTTGTTTTTTCCGTGCAGAGAATAAAAGAATCAAAGGAAACGTTTCTAATTGAAGATAATAGGCGAGTAAGCGTTGGCGAGGATAAAGAGGTCGTCTCCCGGCCGAAATATATATTTTGTGCCCCTCGAAGTTCGGAACGGAACATAAATTATTCTGTATGATTTTGATCAATGGGCAAGCGGGTGTCTGTTCCTTGAGTCCGTAAATAATTGAGTGCTCCCGCCACCTTGAACGCTGACTATAACTCACTTGCACTTGACTCTTGACTTTTTTGATGGGGGTCACACTGTCAGATTTATCGACTGCCTTTGTCGTCGCAAACATTCCAATCGTGCTTCGTGTCCGCACCCCGTCGCAGCCCCAATCTATGTCGTCGAGCCCGAGCCTGGTTATCCAGCTAGTGTTCTCTTGCGGGCAGCGGAGATGATTCAATGAATCCTCCACCAGGTTGCGATACCGAAGATGATATACCATGATCAACCAATCAACTACCGTGTTTAACCATTCACGAATATTCCGCGGGCACTGTGTATCATCTATGGTCACGTCCCTAGACGTGTCAGAATCTTTTAAAGCACGCTATTACCGATAATTGGACGTACTGCTGAACAGAACTATAGACGAGCTCTAGAAACTGGGTAAGTAACTGTCACGGAAAAAACGGTTTAGTGCTGAGCAATAACTGTTTAGATCAAATGGAGGCAGCTGATTAATACAGTACTGCTGATTGTGAGACGCACAGTCTGTATAGGGCTGGACCCGAAAGTTTTAGAGCTCAGCGCTACTGTCATACTAGCTGGCTCCAGTTGATTTTAACAGTTCGTGCTCAGCACTATATCGTTTTTTCCGTGTGTGTAAAAGTGGACGTGATTCCCATTGGGGAAATAGCAAAGTGGGATTTTACATTCTACCAAACGGATCCAAGCGCCTTCTGTACGCGGCACACGGAAAAAACGAGTTCAGAGTTGGGACCTACACGTTAGTGCTGGACACTAACGAGGGTTAGGTCAAATGGAGCTACCTAGTCCGAGTAGTGCTGGACACTAAACAGCTCGAGGCTGGGTCACTAAGGAAGAATTAGTGCCAAGCCCTATAGTGACTTTGGAGCGAGCGTAAAATATGAAACGCCTCCGCCTGGGATCGAATTCGGGTCGCGCCAGTGGAAGACCAGCGCGTTACCACCAGGCTATGGTGACTCCGACGCATCATGGGTGAATTTACACCTGTTGAGCGCAACTGCGTCTCGCAGCATCTGATTGGCACTACTGATGTTCAGTGCCCACCTGTACTGCCTTCCGGTGTTGAGCTGTACAGCGCTTAGACGCCAGCCCTCAACTACTCCCCACTAAACGGCCAGTGGTGCTCAACACTAGTCTTGTTTTTTCCGTGCACTCATGAGCCGTGGGTATGGGCTAATAGCGTTGTGGACAGGGCTCATGCGGTCTAAAGATGCCCACGCGGGCAATCGCGGTGGCGGCTTCGTCGCCGCTGACGTCACAGGCGCTCAATAATTCCTATTCGTTCTCACGACCTTTGACTGACGAGCACACCCCTTCTTTCCCACCTGTCACTGGTTCCGGTGGGCAGAAATACGTTCATTTCTCTAAATCCGGGCTCCGATTTGGCGAGCTGAAAGAGGGTTAGCTAGAATTTATTCCTCCCTCTTTTCACGTGCGCCTTGCGAAGAAACGCTAGAAATTTCCAGGATTGATTTTTTTGCCTCCTCCGCTAGAGGACCGCTGTAAAAATTCCGAAACCGTCAGGTCTCGGGAGAGTAACCGTGTTCTTTCCTGTAGCACGATGTGTATGAATTCTCTACCGTCACCGTTTCATTCCTCACCGGTAGTGGAGCGAGGGGGAAAAACACTCAATTTCATTTTTGCCTCATGTGCAACCAAATGTTTTATTTATCCTCCACCCTCCCCGCGGCTCCGTCACATGTGAGCAAGTCCCTTACCCCCATTTTCCGAGGCCTGGAAACCCCGATCCCCAGCGACAGCAATTTCCAGTGACAGAGCGCATCGTTACAAAGAAAAAAATCGGCCCATATAAAACTGAAGCCTGCTAAAAAGAAAAAACCGACGAAGAAGGGGGGGGGGCATTTTCCCGGCCGAACATCGGGTGTGAGGAAAGGAGGGGGGTCGGAAAATCGTCGGCGAAGCGTTTTCACAATCGCCCGCTCCGGAGCGAATTATTCAATCTTCGGATGATGGCGGCGGCGCGCGGCGCAATAATGCACCCATATTTTCCCCGTAAACGGCGTCGCATAAGAGTGTGATTTATAAAGTGGCGGATCGTAAATCAAAACGGAGACGCGGTCGGCGGCCGGGGTGAGGGGGNGGGGGGGGGGGGGGGGGGGGGGTTGAGCTTTTTATTCCACTCCCACGCAACGGTTCTTCCACAGTCGAGCGTCGCTCTCTGTCGCCGCAGTCGAGTCGCCGGTGAATTTAAATGGAGTTTGAAGGAGGCGTTCATTCGATTTCATGCGAATTTTATGACCGTGTATCAGGTCTCCGATTCTCGACGCCGACACCTGCTTGAGCTTGAGAAGCGGGCGCCGCCGCACAGTGGATCGAATCAAAGAGGTCTGACAAAACATTTTGACGGAAACTGCAAATTTTGACGTTTATTTCGTCACATTTTTTATTTTCAGGAGTGCTCCTAAACGAAAATCTCACGAGAAACCAATAAAATTTAGAACCTCCAAGTTTGTATTAACACTTAACAAGCCTTTAAAGTTTCCAAATTTTGTCCGACCTCTCCTATTGACTCGATCCACTGTGCGCGTTGCGAAGTCCTGAAAAATTCCCCGAGCTTACTCCGCTGAATCAGCGATACATAGCAGGGTTGCCACGGTCAGGGGAAACCTGGAAATATCAAGGAATTTTTGAAAAGTCAGAGAAAACCTGAAAAAATGTCAGGTAAATGATGTGAGAGTCAGTGAACAATTTTTAATTCACCTTTATTTCCTTTCTGCAATAGACTTGACGCCTGGAACAACGCATTTTACGTGAATAATTTCTCAAATTATTTCTTTTTAACCATTATTTGTATCATCAATTGTCTGAGAATTTCACTCAAAGGTGTTAGGATAATCAGGAAAATGTTAGGGGATTTCATTTTCTCAATTTTTTGGCAACTCTGACTTCGGCAATCTATTACCAATTCGTATACGACGGGAGAAGGATCACATTATCAGTTTTATGTTTGTATGCTATTTTATACTGTAGAGGTATCCTTTGAAAGCGTTTGATATCATATCTTGGGAAACAACCACGTACTTCTCAGCAATTGTCTGACCGCATTGCACATTTTGCCCTAACGAAATTTCATTATTTGAAAATCAGATCGTGGGGTAAGTGATACAAATACGGAGAGTATGAATACAGCGTGATCCATCTGTGATTGGCTGATTTACCTGAGGCTATATTGGACAGTTCATAGCCCCCAAATTACGGATCTTTCGAATATCGATAGGATGCAAATTGTTTTGTATTTGTTTGTAGCACTGTGATGCGTGAGTTTTACTTTACTAGTAATATACGGAACATGTTTAGTTCATTGATCAACTAGCTCTAACATTGTATACAAACACTTTTTCTCTTAAAGAGTATCACTTATGAAATGGGATACCCTAATGAGGCGTTGATAGCAGATTGGATACTTATGTCCAAAAAATAAACTTGTCACCATGGTTTCCTCACATTCTGATTCTTTCGAATCAACCGAAGATGTTGAAAATTATGTGTTACAGTAATGATCGCACGCTCAGTTTATGCTCACTGAATGATTTTGAACTTCCTGATGCGTTTACCACACGGTCTGTTTGTATGCTGGAGCGATTAAAAATATTACCAGTGAGGGGAGGAGGGGGCGCTTTTCCACCCTGTTAACCTATTTTGCTAACCCATAGACGTCAATCAAGTCGGCGACACGAACTCAATAGGCCGGCTGTCAGTGCCGAAACGAAAAGGAGTCATCAATAAAAATTTGCCGAGGACCTGCGGGTTGACACACTCCTTCCACCCTCCGCAGCGACGGCGACTGGAACATCGTCACTCTTAATACATTACAGCCCTTTTTTCCAACAAGATTAATCGCCTTTCAATCAATTCCTGCAATTTCGCTTTTGTCTTTGAGTCATCCGAGTTGACCTGCTCTTGCTATGACGATATCGCCCTAGCTCCACAAAAAAACATCAAATAAAAAATAAATTAATAAATTTATTTGACCGCCCATGCGAAAAGGGACCTTAGTTCAACACGGCAAACTTTTCAGTGCAGCGAGTTTTGTCGACTGGATTAGGTCAATTAGGTCGAGAAGTTGGATACTGAGATTTCGACGGAAAACTCCCGCAAGTGCCTGAAAACAATACTTTAGTGTATTTTTGTATCAACACAAAAAGCAATTATGTTTTACTAATCTGAGAGCCTATAGTATTCTGTATCTGACAGATTTGCGCCGCTCATATCACTTCCCTAAAACTGTGCGTTTTGAATCTCAGAGTACTAATAAGTGGTTCAGTTTGACATTTTCGACCTCTCTTGTCTTCAAATGTTTGAAGAACGCTCCTATATGATCGGGTTTTAATGAATAAATGTTTTGTTCCTGTGCACCGGGGGGCCGTCCATTAATTACGTAACGCTTTCAGGGGGGAAGGGGGAGTTTAGTAGAACGTGATCTATTTGGTTTTACGTGTTACAGTATAGGAATTTACGCCGCAGAAGCGTTGGAAAAGTGTGTTACGTAATTTACGAACGCTTCCTAAGGGACTTAGGTCTTTTTTCCCGAGAACGGGACATTTCTTATGTCTACCGTGTAATTTTGACGAACGAATCATGTATTGTGGTGCTTGATGTTCTTTCCTTGTGGGTCAATTATTATAGCAAATGAAAGTGACAATTCTCTCCGCACGGCAACTCCATTAACTTTCTAATTTTATTTGTTGCAGACGATGATGTGTGCGGGGAAAGTGACTGGGCTCGAAAAGTTTCGAATAGGGAATCAAGTGCGCCGAAGGAGGAAAAACTGATTTCCTTATGGTAAGTTGATAATTCACAGTGGCGTGGCGTGCTTTGTGATTAGTCGATTGATCGGTCATTGAAACCTATGGGAAAGGATCAATAGACAGGGTGTTTGCATCCAACAACCTATTAATCGATTCCTCACCATAGCTTCTAATGGGGAAGTACCGATAATCGATCATTCTCGCCTCGCCACTGATTACTTAAACATTTTTGCCTTTCTGCGAGTTCCTTATTGAGATTATAAACTGTGCTATGATGAGACTGCTAAAATACTAACATTTGCTTTAGATGTTGGGTTCTATCATTTATCCGTCTTGTCAGTCTTTCTCGTAATTCTTCTCAAGAATTACCTGAAATTATATCAGGTATCCATTTTTTTTCTCTCTTCCTCTTTATTCATCTGTATTCTCTTTTAGTTGAAACCCCCAGAACTCCGTAATTTTAGTCATCAGTCAGAACATGTTTATGTCCTCACGAACAGTTACAACATGTTTAATCATCACGAAAATTGGAAAACTTAAACGATGTATCAGGCTGCGCCTTCTCCCAGCAGGAACCCAATCAAGGACCCTCTCTGGCAACCTGTCTCCTGCCATTCTCCGAACATGACCGCACCAAATCCGTTTTTTCGTCGTAATGTCGTGCTAAATCAGGTTTCTTGAGTTTCTATCCGGTTCGAAATAGTTTTCGCCACCCTCTTTCAAATACCTCTTCAATAATTCATTCCCATGAATGTGTAAGAAAGGGCGTCAGCTTATACTTTTTAAACTGGAGAGGCGATACGTGCTATAAATCAAGCAGGAATATGTTTGAATTTGCCGTCAAGACAACTTCCTCTAAAGCTAAGAGTGAATGTGTTCGAATGCAGCAGGTTTTTGTCTGACACCAGCAATTTTCCGGTATGCACAAATGTAAATTTCTTTTCGACATTAGCTTTTATCCCCTTGATTTAACAGGGAATCTCCTTTTCGGCAATAGAACATTTGGATTGCGTTAAACAGAAAGGAACCAAGCCACATCAGCTATTGCCAAATTTAATAGAGCAATTTAATTTTTTACAAGAGAACGATTTTGCGGATTCTTTTTACATTTTTGAGGAATCTGCTTCGTACTACTCAGAAAATTCACTAAAATTTGCAGAAAAATCCGCACAATCGTTTTCAGGTGAAAAATTAAATTGCCCAATTCAATTTGGCAATAGCTGATGTGGCTTGGTTCCTTTCTGTTTAACGCGGTCCATTATTTGGCTTAAATGAAGTCACTTTTTGCTAGGGTATTGGAAGTGATCAGGGTGGCTTAGTGTTAAATATTGTACCAGACCCGTAGCCAATCTGGAGCTCTTGAGTAATTTAGACTCGGATGGGTCTGCCCGTGAGTCACTGAGCCGTCCTTTTGCAGTGATGCAGTCGCCGAGTGGGAGTTCTTGATGAAGTCGAATGGTTTTATCGATCGCCCGCCGCGGTTTCAGCGTGTTGGCTTGTCACAGAAATTCCCTCTCGCTTCTGGATTTCAATCTCTCTGCCCCGCAGTTGTATTTCCAAGTCTTCCAAACCAGTAAATCAAAAATCAGAGAATTCCTTCACAATTCAGTGAGTGAAATGGGTCTGTTGCAAGCAAGTGATAGCTAGCTGATTACAGCTCACTGGAAAAATAAAATACATTGGATCTAGAGTCCAGACTCTTGAAAACATTGACAAGAAAAAGGACTCTTGATTCCATCAGATTTAAGCTTATATCAAAAGGAAATCCGCTGAAATTAAGAGGCTGGATTCTTGATTTAAGCTTAAATCTGATTGAATCAAGAGTATGTTTTCTTGTCGATGTTTTTAAGAGTCTGGGCTCTAGATCCAACGTGTTTTTTCCCCAGTGCGTTTGAAGGTAAATTTCGTCGATAATCACGCTGTGCACGTCAAAAAAGTGTGAATTCCATTCCTCAGCGCGCAATCTGTATAGTTTGTAACACGCTTTTTCAAATTTTCCGCGTAATGCTCATTCAGTCATTAGTTTCTAAAATTCACGCCATGGAAGCTTCAAAATGAGTCTCAATAGAGTCAACATTTTCCAATGGAGCTCCCCGAACTGCATTTATTCTCAGGAAAATATTAGTGAGTTTCAAATTTGTGAAACCGTGTAAAGTCAAATGCGATGAGTTTCAACAGTTTGGTCTGTCAAATTGGGTAGATTTAAGCGTAACGTCACATCTTCATTGCGATGTCTCAAACCAGCATTATTTAGGAAAATAAAGACAAACTTAGCCATACCTTGCATATTTTAAAAAACATGCATAAATTTTTTGCACAAAAACAAACCTACATGCCCATTCGAGGGTTTTTGCATTTTTCTCGCCTACCGGAAGTCTATTTCCACAACATTCTACACAACTCAATCAAATTGAATTAGTCATTCTTAAAACAAATCTGCGTCAGGTATAGGAATTTTGTAATAGCCAAACACCCCGTTCAAATCGACTCGTTCCAAGTCTAGTCCTGATCGTTGAAATTGATAGACAAGGAACACATAAGGAGTATGGAGCTATCCTGTCGGTTGAAATGAGTGGTTCTCATACACTAAGCTGGTAAATGAGGGACTAACTGAAGGATCTCTCGATGGTTGCCGTTGTTACAGCCCATTTCGTACCTCATTTTGTCTTTTGCAACTACTCGCTTTCACCAATAGGATCCCTCCAAATCCCTTTTGTCTTCTTTGTCTAAAGGTTTGTCCATCAATTTCTCAACGATTAGCCCGCAGTGCCTCTTTGAGGTTGACCTTTACCTTTTTATATCTAGGACCCATTGCTGCGCTGTTGGAATCCTCTTTTTCTTCCTTTGCTCGTTTAATCTCTCTCCTTGCACATTCATAGTTTCCGTTTAAAAACCTGTCAGTTTTGCTCCGATTTTTTCCCCATTACCGGACGCCTAAAACTGTTGTCTGCCTCGGAAAAAACTCGTGCAAATTGCTCGCGAGGATTGCGAACCGGCTGAGAAGTTGACACGCGGATGATTGAAATAGAGCTTGTTTACTTTTGCTTCTCGCTATTTCGTGAGCCGGGCCTTTCGAGAAATAAGAATGTATGTAAATACGGAGCAGTTATATCGAGTATTTCGGTAAACAAAATTCGTTTCTGTCAGACTGTCATCGGGCCGAAAGCGGCTGTCCAACCCCCCTCCCGCTTCTGCCCATCGCTCTGGCAAGAGCATAAACACCAACGGCGCACGGTGGATCGAGTCAGTGAGAGAGCTCGGACAAAATTTTGGAAACTGTAAAAACTTTTAACTCCGTTCACACACGATTTTAAGGTTCTGAAAATGGTTTCAGTAGTTTTCTCGTGGAATTTTCCTCTAGAAGCACCCCCTTGAAATTTAAAATGTGACGAAATAAACACCGAAATTTGCAATTTTTGTCAAAAAATACATGTCCAACTTCTTCCGGAGACTCGTTCCACTGTGCTGCGCGGTGCGGGTCGCGAGGCGGTTGTTTGGCTGTGCCAAGACATCGCGATGACTGATGGCAATATTTATCAGCGTTTATTTCTCCATTTTCGGAGCTTTGCATTTTATTTTAATGCCGCCTCAATGGGCCATTGGGCCATGCAGCAGACGGGCACTGAAATACCGTAGTGCGGTTTATTTATTATTCGCATGAATGCTTAACTATACATGTACTCGACGGACTTGCAAAGGAGGAAAGATGCGATTTGAATCACCGCTCAGTGTAACGAGCTACCGCAGAAGAGGTCAAACATGAAGTTTTTAGCTAAACCTTCAGATTTTTATGTTTATTTTGTCACATCATTTTGGAGGGCCGTCTCTAACTCTGGAAGAAAATTTCACGAAAACACCAATGGAACCACTCTTAAACTTTTCTTATTCGTATTTCCGAAAATAAAAGCTCTATACAAGAAGGATCCAGCTGCTCACGCTGAGATTTTCGATTTTTTACGTTTTTAATATTGTTGTCTGCAAAGATTATTTTCTTTTTCAAGAGTCTGAGATTTCACGTGTAAGGCTCCAAATCTAGCGTGTGGAAAATACAATGATTTTGATATCATCATCATTAATATAAACTTCGAAGGATTCAGACTTTCAGCGATTCTACCTTTTTCTATTTCACTCGAGAGGTTGCCAGATTGTGCGATAAATGTGAATATTTTACATGGATTTGAATTGGGAAAAGTGCTAAAAAGCAACTTATCTGGCAGCAATAGAGTCCGGGAGGGACGAGAGGCAGCCTACCTGGGAAAACCCATGATTTAGCCGGAAATGTCATTAAAACAATTGATTCCGTTTGAAGCATCAATTGCATACCAGGGGAAAGCTATTTTAAAATAATAATTGTAAATGGACACAGATGCTATAGAAAGGGAGAAAGGAAAGGGAAAGGAAATGAAATGAGGATATGATTACTAATATGCAATCAGAGAGAGTAAAACAAAAACATCAGAGAAATTTATACGCGATGAAAGTATAAGGAAAAAACACGAGTGGGCTCATTGCGATTCTGAACTCGAACTGTACTATCGTTGAGCAGTTTTTAGACCCCTACGCCACCGATAATCTTCTTAAGAGGTAAAGATGAACTTTTGCTACTTCAGCGCGTCAAATTGTGGAAGGAGATCCATGGATTGTCTTTTTCCGCCACCCGATGGAATGACGTCCCAGTCAAATGCGTTTTTGAAGAAATGATCGATCCCCATCATCGCTTCATCTCCACACATCTATTCATGTACAAATGATGGCACGCTCCGGCAACAAGGTTCTGTGACGAAATCATTTTTGCCTCAGAGTCTCCAAAATGTACACATCTTAGTGATCAAACGTCCAGTCACTGAGAAAAAGCCGAATGTCACTCGCGTAGCGAGTGATCGGGGGTCCAAGGGGCGCAGCCCCTTGGCTGGCCGTGACGGACGCGCAAAGCGCGTCCAGAACGGCTAGTAAAATATGCGGTAGAGATTCATGCTCTTTTTGTAGCCATTTCACCGTTAAACAAAGGGTAGATGTGTCTGTTGGCCATTTTGA